GACACAGAGACAGACAGACACAGAGACAGACGGACACAGAGACAGACAGACACAGAGACAGAAAAGACACAGAGACAGAGACAGAGACAGAGAGCCAGCCAGCCAGCCAGACAGGCAGACAGACAGACATACAGACATACAGACAGTCCGGCCGACCGACCGACAGACAGACATACATACGCGCGTCCTTGAGGAAGACAGGTGCTGTATTGGAGTGGGTGTATTTTTGATAAATTTTGGAGTTTCCTTCATAAGGTGTGAAACACCGGTGCTAAGACTTGGAGGACGGATCTATGGATTCGATTTCCAGCATCATGACCATCGTCATTGTCATCACCATCAACAGCAGCATCATAGTAAAACTTTTAATACAGGATGGTGTCTTAGGGTTCATGTTATTTTCCAGGAGGATATTTAGGTGTGTTGTTCCAGCAAAGGAACTTCGTTGCCGAAGGGATTTCTCACCGCGCTGTAGGGAAAGTCATGAATTGTACTGACGGGTGCATACGCAAGAGGTTTCTTTGAATCTTGGCTCTTTCAAAACACCAATTTACATCCCAGAAGTTCAGCACGTGAAGTCCAAGGGCGGAAGCGAAACAACGTGTTTATGTTTATTTTAAATGGTAATTAATGAATCTAAACTTGTTTGCGTCCCAGGTGGGTCTCCTCTTCGAAAATCGGCCAGCTTCAATCTCCAGGTGTGGCCCGGCCACGTTGGGCCAAATGAGACAGCTGTGACCCTCAGGATCCGGGGAAGAGCACAGTAGTATTTGTTCGTTTCAGTAGCATCATTTCTCACTTGTTTATATCTCTTTGAGTTGGGGGATTATGTGTTGGAGGGCACCAAACCGTTCTACAAAGTGTGGTTTCCTTGAAGCCTGGGGCCAACGGCCTAGGGACTGGGTTGCAAGCTACAACCAACCTTAATCACTGCGGAGCTCTGCCACGGAGCTCCGGGACCGTCCGTTGCCGACAGGTGCCGGAGCTCTTCAACGTGCGCGGCGAGGCCATCGCACGGCCTGAGTTCTTTCAGCTGAGGACGCAAAGGCCGCTGTCGAATTGCTCAGTTTGCGGTGTTAGGTCTTGTTGTGATCGACGTCAAAACGACCTAGGGTGTGACTAGGAAAAATGGGCCTCAAACTAGGGATGAGGGTTAGTTCCGTTGTTTTGATCTGCTAGAAAGCTCCTGGTCTGTAGTGCGGGTACCCAATGGCCACCTGGAGTCTGAAGTCCGGTGTTTGCGAGGCATGAGAGCATGGGCTGTCCTTTGCAACATTGTTACTGTTATTTTTGCGATGGCCGATTTGAAGAAATTGAAGAAGTTCTTTCAAAATTTATTTGCTCACACCTCATCATGTGAATCAACCTGTGCGACCCAAAACACAACGTTTTGCGATTGTTAATTGATCTTTGTTTGGATTCGATCATTGTGTACAGTATTTCTCTTGTATGTTCAAGCGACCGATACCAGATTATAATTGTCCTCCTCCATTGGTAAGGCGGTCTTTCAATTCCAGGGAGGGACCTCCCACATCAGCCAATGATATAGTTTACGTTTGCGCAGGTCGTTCCAGGTTGAGATCTATCTCAGCAATGAGGAGGTCAGTGACGAAGATGGTTTGAGTTTTGGTGCCCGATCGGGGTCCAGTGTTGGGGGGTGTTGCTCTTATATTCTTTGTGGTTTGAAAACAATGGACTTTTGCCAGGGTGGTCCAATTTTTTACCATCCGAAGGTCTTTGAATCATTTGGACGAGCGGCCAAGTGCTGCGACCGTGGTTTCCAGCAAAGAGAAGCCAGGATTTACACGTGATGGGTGGGTTGCTCGTCAGTATACTGCAAGACTAAGGGGTGTAGCGTTTGTTTCCATAATTTTCCATATGTTGTTTCGGATGTGCGAAATGTCCAGACTGAGTTCTGCTCACAAGTGGTGCATTTGATTCCAATGTTTGACGGAAAACATATTGCTTATCATTGCATATTTGTTCTTTAAGCAACATCACGCAACAGTATGTCATTAAGCCTGTCAAGGCTACTCAATGAGAATTAGAAACAGAATTTGCCCAGGTTCTAATCCTTCAGAGAGCAAGAACCCCTCAAAGCCCGGGTGACATGCCCGAAAACTCTCCATTGTCAGTGCAACGAATTCGCCGTATATGAACTTTGCTATACTCTACTTGCAGCAAAAGACACAGATACCCGAACGCATGTAAAAAATAAAAATAAAAATCGCAATCTCGGGAGATCAGCAAGTTCCTACAAGCTCGTGGGCTGGTTTAAGCTAAGTTTGCAAAGCCAGCAATGCTTTTTTGCAGGACTCTAGCGAAGAGGCGCTTTGACTTGGTACTGGGCAATGCTTCGTGCTCAGAATGTTGATAACCCAGATCTTAAGACCTGTTGCAGCTGTAAACCTGGCCCATTGGGAGTGGTGGTCTGCAGAAATCAACTCTTTGGTGGGCACGCAGACATCCCGAATGTTTGGTTTTCCGGAGCCTTCTGTAACTGTTTGGCCTAGACAGCACCCCCTGAACAATCAATAATGCAAGCACAAGATTTGAAAAACAGAACATGTGTCACAGAATAAAGCAGGTAGATTTAATTTGGGGAGACCATGCAGAGCGCACGCATGATCAATCTCTATACCTCAAGACAGTTGCACATACAACTTGCTTTTTGTACGATCACAAATATATATATATATATAAATGCAATACGAATGGTGTTTTGCTTCGATTAGATTGTACTTAGCGGCCTTGGTGATGTTGTCGATGGTGCATGTTTGATTCGGTGGAGTCCCCCTCAGATGTGGGTGGGCGGAGGTCCGCCCGGTCCAGAGTTGCGGAAGGTCCAGGCGGAGATTTTGTCCAATGTTGATGAGAAGGTATTGGTACCGGTAGTCGGTAGTTAAGAATATTCTAAGAACATGCTGCAATCAAGTCCACCAACCTCTACTTAGAGACAAGTTCCTTTGAGTCCTCTTGAGGGCTTGGCTCATCGAGGTGCATGTTGGCCTGAAATGTGACGCAATTCAATACATATACTGTATATATATATATATAATAGCTCCCATGTATTTTGACCGTCCTTCCCTTTTTTGACCCACTCATTTTTTCTGACCCCCTAAACTGTTTAATTTGGCCCCCGACCCCTTTTTTGACACCACATCCTTTTTGTTGATCTACGACCATTCTTTGTTGACCCAACATCCTTTTTTTGAACCCCCCGCAATGTTTTTCAAACCACCGACACCCGTTGTTTAAGCAACCATTATTTTTGACCTCCCGACCTTTTTTTTTCACCCCTTTGAGCTTTTTTTGACCACCAAGCCTTTTCAAAAAGTCTAGCCCTTTTCTGAGACCACTTGAAGCTTTGTTTTGACCGCAAGCCGCCTTTTTTTGACCCTGCAGGGCTTTTGGTAGCTTGCCGTGGTGGCAGTGTGCGATTTGGACTGTGTGTACTGGTGTCATGCTGCCCACATGTCTCGACCGCTGTTTAATTTGACAGCCCATCCCTTTTTTGGACCACAATTCCTTTTCACCCGCAACACATGTTATTGTTTTGACCACCAACACCTTTTTAACACAGCAATTTTGCTGACATCCCGACCATTTTGTTTGACCACGATCCATGTCTCTTTACCCCTTCCTTTCTTCTTTTACCACCCCCACCAGTTTTTTGATCCCACACCCTTTTGTTTTGACCACCCAACACCTTTTATTGGACCCCCTGAGTTCTTCCCACGTGACCATCCCTGCAGACTTGCACCATGATTCTCCGGCAGGTGTTTCATTTTGATAAGCTCAGTTTCTGCTGGACGCACGGCAATCAAGCGGTGTGAGCCACCCGAGGAAGGTTTATTGTAATGGAGTATATATGTATGCACGAAATGAAATGTCGTGACAAAACCTCCTGTGGCTTTTCCATCCATCATGGAATCTGATTGTCTTAGCCCTCGAAGCCTTTTTTGGACCCCGGCCCGCCTTTTTTGAAACCAAACTTGAGTTCTTTGTGGAACCTTGCCGTGCCGACAAAAACCAGTAAATTAACACCACGATGAACAAAACGATGCTGAAATGTTGTGCCCATGGAGCTCTCTTCTTGCGAAACGGGCTTCAACACGTAGAATCCTTGCGTTTCCATGGGTATGTGGAATAAATTGCGGGCGGTTTTGCCTACTGTGAAGTGGTCTGAAGGGTTGTGCATTGGTTTCCAGTCTTGCAAGACATGCCTTCCAACGTGCAAAAGTAGACTTTTGATGCTGTGTGTGTGTGTGTGTGCAGTGTTTCGTGCGAAATGTCATTTCACTTGTGCTGAATGTTCTGTGCACATTGGGCTTTGCCTCTGGCGCTGTCCCTTTGGGTACCCTGCAGTGCCTTCGTGCATTCTGCTGCGGGGTCAAAAAAAGTTAAGAAGCATGGATAGGGGGTCAGAAAATATAAGAGTCGGGAGTCAACTAAAGGAATCCCTATATATACTGTATATATATATATATGTGCATTATATTATTTGTATCTTCATGTATACATACATGTGTGTATATACAAATACTTTCATTTTGTCATTTTGGATCCCCACAATCAACCAACCATCCCAAAGCCAAGCTGGCAGTGAAGGTTGTTTTGTGGAGAAGTCCTCCCAGCAACCTTAGTGTGCCTGGACTGACTGCTTGGTTTGTACTACATAATTGATTGGGCATTTACAGATGAATCTCGGTTATTCTCCAAAGATCGCAAGATCTTCACCAAGATCTTGGGCGCTGCCAACTGCCACCATTCACTTCTCATACTTGGGTCATATTTCCGGCAGGTTTTTACCAATCACAAAATCTGGTTTGGTGGATTGGTTGGCAACTTTAACTGGGAAGATAATTCGCTCATCCTTCTATCCTCACCTACCGAAACATTCTCATTTTCGACAGACAGATCATGTTGGATTTGCTAATCTATTCGTAGACCAAATAGGTGTTAATAGGTGAACTATTCTGTAGACTATTGACCGTTTAGTTCCTTTTCCTGGTGCTCACATGCTGCATGTCGCGGACTGTTGGTTCCGGACTTTTCGCCTTTTCATTCAGCTCGGCCAGGGAGAGCTCCTAGAACGTTGGACCTTCACCTTCTTGCCAGCGCCCGCGCATCCAGAAGCCAACCAATTGGACAGGCGCCGGGGCGGGGCGATGTCGAGGCCACCAGACCAAGCACCTTCGTTCTATGAGTTGTGAGTGGGTCTTTGTGCAATCTTGACCCAGCTTTGCAACCCAACCTGACTGGAGCTTTTCAATCACTCCAACTATGCATTGCTAAAGCTCCAATGCAACCCCAATCGATTTGTAAAATGTAAGGGGAACTGGGGAGCAGGAACTGTAGAACAAAAACGGGAGCAGGAACTGGGGTCCAGGGCAGGCAGGAACGAAAACGTCGTTCCCAGCACAAAGTGTTGCTAGGTACTTGCAAACACCTGCCACTCTAAGTGTTGGTCCTACTGAGGTTACTGCGAAGAAAGAATGAGTTGCAACGAGAACAGAAAGCACACGACAAGTGCAACAGCACCGAAATATCCTGCTACGCGCAGCTGCCTGCCGCCTTGCCGTGCAGAAAACGTGTTTTGCCCGGCGCAGGCTGAATGCTTTGCAATGGGGCCACAAGGCACGCAACTGCCTGTGGCCTTGCCGCGCGTCTAACTTTGGTAGGCAAAAGGCACGCCGCAAGTGCAAAAACTGTTGCAGAGCCAACCTGCAAGGTCCACGCAACTACCTGCGGCCGTGCTGTGCATACAACATGTTTGGCGCTGCGACGAGAGATTGCTTGGTAGTGGAGACAGAAAGCACACTACAAGTGCAGGTTTGAAGGTGCCATTCACAAAATATTGAGGAGGAATTCCGGATTTCGGACGCCGGCGGCCCCAGAGATTGAAGCCCAAGTGTGCCCATATTCCATGACGATGCAGGTCGAGTCAGCCTCAAATCCGGACAAAATGCTAAATCTAAAGCGCAAACAGATCAACGTTCCAAGATGGGGCATTAAACACTGCCACCAGACTGCCACCAAAATCACAGTCTCACACGGAATTCCGGCTTGGGAGCGCCGGACCAACCGCGCACCACTCCCAGCCCCAACTGCGTTCTGTTGTTGGGAACCATATAGATGGTGAACATATATGGCGCAAAGCCGCCAAGCCAAGAAATGGGAGGACTACTAATCAGCTAGTTTGGGTCATGCCATGCACAGGCACAACCAATCGCTGATCCGGAAGCTCACCGTGGTTCTTCGGACCTTACTCTTTTTTGTGCGCCTGCAACCTGCCGGGCCCTTGGAGCGCCGTGGAAATCATGTTCCATGACCTGGGCCTTGTAACAGTAAGAATTGGGTTCCAACAAGGTCTGAAATCGTTCATGTTTCGATGTCATCCTTCACAGTCCTTCAATGTCATCACCGGCTCGTGTGGTCAAGGTGCTTCTAGGTATATAAACTGCAGCATTCCAACCAGAGGGGCCTTCCGGCATGTCATGTGGAGCCGCCGCCTATCCCTTGCCCGCTGGTTTGACTTGGTGACAAAACCGGAAGATACCGGGAAGCCTGTGGCTGCAATGCAATGGTTCGATTTCTTATGTCCCTGGGTCCTTTTCGATAGTAGGTTATGTAGGTGTGGCTGTTAAACTTTCTTGAGGCAAACCTGAACCATGATAGCATCTAGCTACGGATTGCAAACTCCTAAAACTGCCATAGGTTCTGCCCAGACTTGAATTTTACATAAGTGGCTCAGGCTCACACATTCCTCAAAACTAGAAAAGTATATTCTTCCCCACATGGCAGCAAATCGTAGAGATTAGAAAGCCCGCGCAAGGCCCAGGATTGCAGGGTCTTTATTATCAGATTCCCCAGCTCTTTAAGTTTCCTGCGTTGGTTGATAGAATCTCCAACTTTCAATTCAAGAGGAGTTATCGATTTTGAGCGCTTTAGGCTCATGGCCTTTGCCGTGGGCCAAATGCCCCAGCCAGGCGCGGTCGTTGGGTCAGCTGTGGAAACTGGATGGAGACTAGGGCCTAGGAGAAGACCACCTTAGAGATTCTTGAATCGCTGTCATGGGCAACGGGAGCGCATGGAAGATGGAAATAGTTCCAATGAATGGTAAGAAGTAAGAAGAGAATAATTACCGACAGAAAAGCAAGTGTAAGACGCATGCGAACATACCCCGCACTACCCGTCCGACCTTGGACATCGACCGCTGCTCGAGGTTTCACCTTTTCCGCGTGGAGGCATGGCCCCCCACCTCTCGGCCCTCCACCACTTTGGAGCTCCTCTCACAGGAACTGGGAGCGCGGAGACAAAGACGCTGCAAGAAATTGAACAAAACGGTGTCTGTCTTGGTGTGTCACGGTGTTTATGATCGAGCCATTGTTTGTGGGCGGACCCTTGCCGCCAGCAATGGATCTGGATAAGTGTTTATGTGGTGGCAGTAGTGGTCGTGGTCGTGGTGACGGTGGTGGTGGTGGTGGTGGTGGCGGTGGCGGTGGTGGTGGTGGTGGCGCAGGTGGTGTGAAAGTTCGACACCTCGTTCGAAGCTGTCCTTTCGGTCAAACACAGTTGTTCTCATGTTTCTATACACGCACAAATCAAGAAGTGTACTGCAGTATGCACGGAAGCCTTTCGTAGAAGCTTGCAGTTGACATGGACTGTTTTTGAGCTTCGTTCAAATGCCTGTCGTGCCCAGAGCGACATCAACCCGGGTGATGCGCTTACGCATTGTCCGGGTGCATTCGGGTGATGCGCTTACGCATTGTCCGGGTGCATTCGATGCATGTCGCGTCCAGAGCGACAAATCGAGAAGTGTACCTCTCGCCACTGACTGTGGCTCAAGGTGTGACGCAAAAGGTGCGTTACACGCTGGGACGGGCGTGGGCGTTTCGGCTGATCGCGGCCGAGGGATTCCGTTCGATCGAACACGTTCGAAAGGTTTCAACTGTTTTCTTTTGGGTTCTCACGAGTTTCCAACTTGAAGTAAACCTTCATATGGTAGCGGAGCTCCTGCGGGAGCTGTAGGTTTCAATTCACTTAGGATAGGTCACGACTTTTCATCCGTAGAGATTGAGCCATGGCCGATCGTGATGGAACTGCACCTCAAAGAGAACGATCCAGAGGAAGATCTGAAACTCGGAGCCGAAGGAGTCCGGAAGCGCAGGGGGTAGACACGTCAAGAATAGAGAGATTGGAAACACAAGTTGCGCGCCTTGCAGATTCGCTGTTCTCTCTTGGACCAGCTTTTGCAACAGGTGATTCAGTTGAGTTCAAATCCAAACTTTGTTGCACAGAATGTTGCTGCCCCGACTGTTCTTCCGGGTTCTCAGATGCCAATCCCACCAGCACAGGTGCCACAAAATCCTGCGCCTGGTTTGGCCCAGCCTGATCCGACAGCCCAACCATTCGATCTAGGTAATCCGACTAATATCAAATGCAGACCCACTGCAGACATCCGATCCTTGGCGTAACTATACTTCGCCATCTCGAGAGGCTGGCATTCCTGAACGACCATTCCCTACGAGCCTGCCAGCCTCACCGGATCGTCAATTCCCGCCGTTCGGAGCTTCTCAGTTGAACTCGAGTGGATTGATCCCCCCACCACCAGGGATGCCACCCCTGCAATCCACAGGAGGTCCACGATCCATTCCGATCGATACTCCTCCGGGATCAATGCATGAGAATGGAGGAGATGAAAACCCCTTCAAGAGGAGCGAACGGTGGATGCCAAACATGCCCCTCCAGCATACGATGAATGGAAATCACGTCCTCAAGAGATCACCGGGTTTTTGTCTTGGGTAACTGATCTAGCTAGTTGGACAGGATTAGGATCCAATGCCTACCCTGGAGAGATTATGGGTTGTATCAAAGAAACTGAGCCTTTAGGTTGGCATCGATTGCAACCCAGCCAGATAACCAGGTCAGTCAGACTTCTCTCCATCTTGAAGACATGCTTCATTAACCATGCCCGAGCAAGCCTGGTTATTCGCAACTATGAGGAAGCTAAGGGATTTCATCGATGCTGCGGATTCGAGTGTCTTCGACTGATTGCAAGAGAGTTTTCAGTGAAAACCCGCACAGAATTGTTGTTTTTCAGGAATCAACTTGCCAATATGCACCGTCGCCGGTCAAACGATTCCGGAGATCGTTCGAAAGATTCAGTCCGAACTGTTTCAATTCGAAAGAGTGTCTCAATTGGTCGATCCCAGTGTCAACATCAAAGGTCTTGAATTTGCCGAAGCCGACAAGACTTTGATCCTTTTGAGAGCCCTGCCTCAACAGTGTCGTCCGTGGATTGTCCTGAACAATGCCGATGAATAATTGTCTCATAGGTTGAAAGTGCCCTCAGGTATGAAGCCCAGCAACGAATTTGGCTTGATCTCAATGGCAAACCCATTGCCAGCCTGGGAGGTTTCGATCCAAAAGGCAAAGGCAAGGAGCGCAAAGGTGGAAAAGGTAAGTATGACAATCAGGACAAAGAGGGCAAGGGAAAGCATTTGGGTAAAGGTAAAGGCACTGGATCCGGGTCAGAAACCAGAAGCTGTTTTCATTGTGGTGAACGAGGTCATTTGTCCGCCAACTGTCCCAATCGTGACAAACGCCACGGCAGTCATGAGAAGCAGTCCAAAGGTGATAAGGGAAAGGGAGATGGAAAAGGAAAGAGTAAAGAGAAAGGAAAGAAGGGTGAGAAAGGAGATAAAGGTGGAAAGGGTAAGATGAAAGGGAAAAGAGCCACTGAGTTTTCGCAACCAGAGTCCGAAGCCGGGTCCGAGGTATGCATGGTCAGAACCAGACTTCGAAGACGGTGGTCGTCTTTCCACTTGCTTGGAGCCTTCTTTGCCCGTTGAACCCTTCTTCATGTGCCAGAATCTTGATGATCATGATCCCCAGCTTTGGCTAGTCGATTCCGGAGCTTCTCGAACCGTCGTTTCTGCGCAAGCATTGAAAGTGTATCGAGTGTTGGGAGAACGGGACATGACCACACCCATCAACTTTCGAACAGCATCCGGAGAGCAAGTATCTATTGAAAGAGAATGTATGTTAGAAGTGTTCTTTCCCACCATGATTGAACATGAAGACGGTGAGAAAGTCAAGGTTGTTCGATATGAAATTCGTGCCGTCATCGGACCTGTAGAGCACAATTTGTTGAGTGTTCATGGACTCACCCGTATGGGAGCAACGTTCACGTTCGGTCCGAACAGCTGTCGACGTCGAGATCAATGTGAGCAGAGCCTCAGGTGCTAAAGGTTCGGAGGACAAGGTGACCGAGAGAGAATTCAAAGGAGCTGAGAAGAAGGGATCTTCGAGCGTCAACCTGAAGGTTGAAGAGGGCAAGAAGAACATTGAAGGGTATGCCACGGCTGCTGATCATGGAGAAAAGAGCTCATCCAATGGAGATTGGGACATGACCCCGACATCAAGTGCTTCTCCGCATCCGCCGAGCTGTTCGCCTCCGAAGAGCTCATCACCACACCCTCCAAGCCATTCTCCTCCAGGACGTGGCAAGGGGGCAGAAGAGATCCCATCGACCTCACCAGAGAATGAGACGAGCTCTGAGCCGCCAGTTTATGCGATCTGCGTCCGAACTGGCGAGCGGATCCATACTACCGCCTGCGGCATGGTGAGGAAGATGAAGGAGAAGGATGTGGTCAAGCGACCTTTGTGTCCGGATTGCCTCGCTGAAGGCCTAGTAGCAATGAGCAGACCCTGTGCTTCAATTTTGAACGCCCGACCTACATTCACAAGGGTCCAGCCGGACAATACATGTCCATGCCTGCAGGGTAATCCACTTGTGCAATAATACTGCACCAGGACGGTGAAGCCTTGCAAGCAGTGCATTCGGATCTCGAAGTGATCCTAGCTTGGCTCGCCTGTAAAGGCCTAAAAGCTGCAGTATCCATGAGATGTGGTAGAGTAGTACAGCTGTACCACAACATGTGTTTGAGGGGGGGGGGTGAAAGTTCGACACCTCGTTCGAAGCCGTCCTTTCAGTCAAACACAGTTGTTCTCATGTTTCTATACACGCACAAATCAAGAAGTGTACTGCAGTATGCACGGAACCCTTTCGTAGAAGCTTGCAGTTGACATGGACTGTTTTTGAGCTTCGTTCAAATGCCTGTCGCGCCCAGAGCGACATCAACCCGGGTGATGCGCTTACGCATTGTCCAGGTGCATTCGGGCGATGCGCTTACGCATTGTCCGGGTGCATTCGATGCGTGTCGCGTCCAGAGCGACAAATCGAGAAGTGTACCTCTCGCCACTGACTGTGGCTCAAGGTGTGACGCAAAAGGTGCGTTACACGCTGGGACGGGCGTGGGCGTTTCGGCTGATCGCGGCCGAGGGATTCCGTTTGATCGAACGCGTTCGAAAGGTTGCAACTGTTTTCTTTTGGGTTCTCACGAGTTCCAACTTGAAGTAAACCTTCATAGGTGGTGGTGGTGGTGGTGGCGGTGGCGGTGGCGGCGTGCATATACGCTTGTCTCGAACCGCAGCCACCATGGCGTGCTGCAGGACTTTGTGACGCTCCAATCCACCGTGGGGACGCTGCGGTTGTCAGTGTCCCAGCGCAAGGACAGAACCCGTTTGAGACGTGTAGGCGTGCTCGCTTGTGCTTCAGGAGTGCGAAGACCGATCTGAAGTGGTGATGAATTTCAGCACATGCTCCGCTTCTTCATGAAATGATCTTTGAGCAAAAAATGTAGAGGAAAGCAAATGCAGCCTACTAATTTTTGCACATCCCAGATGAACAAGACAAAAGCTTGTGGGTTTGTCTTCAAAACAACAAAATCCCGTTGCTGGACGTCCCGTATTGCAGGTCAGTCTTCTAATTTCGAGAAGAAGGCCCTTTTGGATTGTCAAAGCGCTCATCAAAGACTTGACGGACCCCCGCCACGCCTGGCAAGTTGAGAAAAGCATGTTTGGCTCGGGTCCCTTCTGGTTGAAGAAGAAAGCACATGAAGTAAGAAGTAAAACATGAATTACTCCAGCATAGGCCCCAGATAGCAAAAGCATGCCAAAGATTTTTCTAGGCTGCACCCTGCATTGGCAACAGCTCCAATTTTTACAGCGTGGCGTGTCTCCACTACGCGCACGGCCAGCGCCAGCACCCGGGACCTCACAGCACCAGCACCGGCACCCAGCACCCAGCCAGCACCGGCACCATGTCTCCACCACGTGCGCAGCCAGCTCACGTGCACAGCAAGCTCGCAGCACCGGCGCCCAGCGCCCTGTCTCCACCACGCGCACAGCCAGCCAGCCAGCACCCTGCACCGACACCCGGCACCCTGTCTCCACCACGCGCACAGCCCCCAGCACCGGCACCGCACCACCAGCGGCACCCGGCACCCAGCACCAGCACCGGCACCAGCAACCTGTTTCCACCACGTGCACAGCCAGCTCACAGCGCCAGCGTGCGCAGCCAGCTCACAGCACCAGCACCGGCCCCAGCACCAGCACCGGCACCCAGCACCAGCACTATCAACCTGTCTCCACTGCGCGCACAGCCAGCTCACAGCACCAGCACCGGCACCCAGCACCAGCACCAGCAACCTGTCTCCACCACGTGCACAGCCAGCTCACACCACCAGCACCAGCACCGGCACCCGGCACCCGGCACCACCAGCACCGGCGCCCGGCACCCAGCGCCAGCACCAGCACCAGCAACCTGTCTCCACCACGTGCGCAGCCAGCTCACAGCACCAGCACCGGCACCCGGCACCAGCACCAGCAACCTGTCTCGAAAGCGCGCACGGGCAACTCGTTGTTATTTGAAGTAAGAACCATAGCTTCGCTACCTGGGGAAATATACTGGTGTATATACATGACTATATAGTTATAATGGTTAATATTTTTAAAGTTTATAGTTATGTTTATATCGATGGAACTTGGGCGGCTGGCCTGAGAGGACCTGAAGTCGCTCACGTCTGCAGGGCCCCTGCCGCTTCAGGGCGTTCGGACTCCAAGGAGTTGTGGATTGGAGGTGCTGGTCATCTTTTGTTTGTCCAAAGCCGTGAGATTCCGTGAGTTTCCGAAGGTTTTGGTTGTTCCGCTAGTGGGCCTGCCAAGCCTACAAGCGAACTACGCCATCCCAACTCATCAGGCGACAGATGCACAACAATGAGATAAGACCTGGGATGACTTCCTAAGTTTATTCTGGCAAGCGGCACCAAACAGGTCAACTGACACACGGTTAGAGCGGTCAAGCATAGACATAGATAAATTGCCATGATCGCCTTTGTTTCTTCTCCAATGACACCAATGAGACCACCAGTCTATTCGCTCACCGCTGACACTCCGCATTTGCCTTCGCACGCTTCCCAGTCGCCAATCGCGCGGGAAACCGCATGACAGAGTAAGATCACGGACCTTTTCTTCGACACACCATGTGCCACAAAGTTTCAACTGGAGTCTGGAGGAGGTGTTGGGTTGTTTGGCACTCTGCTTTGGACAGCCAAGGTTTGAAGGTGTCGGGAATATGAGCCTATGCAACATAAGTATGTACAGTAGATCACACGATCTAAGTAACCTTGACCAGGGCTGTATCTTGCAGCCCCTTCTGACCAAGTAAAAGGTGCGAGTCCGGGCGCTGAGTTGCGCCGTTTCATGGTAGCGGAGCCTGGTTTCCAAGGGTGCTACCCTGCTGGCGCGGGTAGCCCCGCCCAGCAAAACGGCTCCCAAGCCGAAGAAGGGAGCCAAGAAGAAGAACAAAAGGGGCAGGAGATCTGCCTACAGAACCCTAGCTCGAGAAGCTAGGGCAGCTAGGGGCCAAGCCCGGCGAGAAGCCGGCACAACACAAGAAAGAAAGAAGCAAGGAATCCAGGTTGTGAAGCCCCGGCCACTTCCGTCTGGACAGGGGCACATCGAGCTTTCATAGTTCGAGACAAGACTCCGAGCCCAATTCGATTGGTTCCAGCTCGAAAGGAGCTAAGACATCCTCATCCAGGTTCTCGTGGAAGAGCCAAGGAGAAAAACAGAAAGAGAAGAGCGAAGAGAAGCGAGAGGGATCGTTCTCGCCGTCGAGCACCTGAACCTCGTGCACTTCGCCTTCGTTCCGCTTCACCCCTGCATCAGCGATTCACTCAGCTGTATCATCAAAGGCCATCCAAGACAAAGTTCACAAGAACTGGACGAACCTGAGGTTTGCCGACAGAGTTGCTGTGAGACGGGTCTTGAGGAAGCATTTCCCTCACGGAAGTGTCAAGGACGCCTTTGACACCTTACCAGCTGACTGCTCCAGCTGTGAGGAGAGATCTTGACTGAATCGTCCAAGGGCCGCTCAGTTCGCAGCAGCTCGTTTGACTCGAAAGAACCGAGAAGAGGCGCAAAGAGCAAAGGCCTACGAAGCCGACGCGGAGGAGAAAGCTGAGTCAAAGGACAAACGGCCGCGCAAGAGGCCATTTCCAAACATAGATCTTGTTTCAGAAGTAGATTACGGTGGCGACGACGATGATAACAACGAATCCTCAGGAAACGACTCCAGACTTGGAGCAATCAAGGGACCCCATGGCCCAGATGATGGCGGCAGTGGAGCGGCTGTCACGGCAAGTTGAGCTGCAACAGATGCAGCTAGAACAGATGCGTGCTGAAAGAGTGCGCGTCGAGCCTGAACGCAGGGTTTCAGACATATCAGGTATGGTTCCAACAGCTGTTTTGCACAGACCTTTTCAAGAATCTAGCTAGCAGTAGTAGTGGGGGGTTTGGTTTGGTTGACACGAGACAGTTGGGAAAACCGGAGACCTTCAAGGGAGATGCGAGTGAGTATGCTGATTGGTCGTTTGTGTTCAAAGTGTGTTGACTCCCGTTTCATTGAGATTGTTGAACGTATTGAATCAACTAGAGTTCCATGCCCGAATCGCCTTCTCAGCGAGCAAGAGAGGCAGCTTTCATCACAGTTGTATTACATGTTAGTGATGTTAGTCAAGGGCAGGGCACTCGATGTGGTACAAAGCCGTGGAAAGGGAGAGGGCTTTGAGGCCCTCCGCAAACTCGAAGAGCTGTACCAACCCAAGTTGGCATCAAGATTTGTTGGCAGTTTGAGTTTGATTCTCAACACACGTTTTTCATCCACGGATGTGGAGGCAGAACTAGAGTTGTCTGAAAAGACGATCAGGCGATATGAGAGCGAAACTGGCAAAGCCTTGGATGACCAGATTTTGCTCGGTGTGGTCATCAACGGTCTCCAAGACAATTCAGTTCGAGACCACATCATTAGAAACACAAATCGCTTGACGAGCTATCAGCTGGTAAGAGATGAGCTGTTGGAGATAGCTCGTACTAGGGAAAAGGAAGTAAGGGTAAAGATGACAAAGGCAAAGGCAAAGGCAAGACCAAAGGCACCTCCAGCAATACAGCTCTTAGCAAAGAGAAGACGTGTTTCTATTGCAGCAAGCCTGGCCACATCAAGGCCGAACGCCGCAAGAAACAAGCAGACGACAGAGCCAAAGGTAGCAAAGGCTCCAAAGGTGAAAAAGGTAAGAACGCAGCAACGCCAGAGCAAGAACCCCAGAGTGAACCACTGTCCTCACTAATGGAAGACTCTGACAGTGTTGCAGCTATTGCTAGCCCCTTGAAGCGCGTGCTGGTTGACACTGGAGCCGGTTCCCATTTGTTTCAAAGTGGGTTTGACCCCCATGCTGTTGAGAGCGTAAATGATTCATCCAAGAGCTTAGTTACTGTCACGGGTGAACCGCTCACATCTGGAATCAGAAAGAAAAGCGTCATTGAATGTTCTGGCAAAACGTTCAATGTTGAATACGCTGAGTCAGATAAGCTTCAGTTTAGTGTCCTTTCATCCGGTAAAATGGCAGAAAAGGGGGTGTGGACCATTGTTGGTCCTGGTACGCAGTGTATTGCCCAGCCCAGGTTCACTCCCATTATTCAAGACTGTTTGAGCCACATTGAAACGATTCCCTTAACCAAGAGCAGGGGAGTGTTCTGGTTGCCACTGGAGACCAAGCAATCACCAGCGGGTAGCCCCGCGGACATCCTTGGCGGTGTCAAGGCAGTGGCAAAGAGCGTGCCTGCCAACATTTACGATGAGGTTGGGGAGCCTGGGCATCAGGAGGGAGTTTCTGCAGCTTCTAATCATCCTAGTGGTCCTAGAAGATTCCTGATGCTGTTTCAAAGGAGGAATATGACGCACACATGCTCACACACATTCCTTTGAGAAACTGGTGCGAGCATTGCATGCGTGGCAAAGTCCGTGAGGACGACCACCGCGGGAGACAAGCAGAAAGCGACCCGAATGAAGTTCCGCGTGTAAGTTTGGATTACTGTTTCCTGGGTCGTGTTGTGAAAAAACAAAACACCGAGTTGAATGTTTCTGAACTCGCGTCTAAATCACCAGATGATGAAAACTTGCTGCCTGTTCTTGTCATTGTTGACGAGAAAACAGGTTGTGTCTTTTCTGGTGTGGTTGCTAAAGGTGTGAATGCTTACGCAAACCATTTGGTGGTTGAAGCCTTAAAGTTTTGTGGTAGGCAAAGAGCTGTGCTCATGACAGATGCTGAGCCCAGCATCAAGGCGTTGGCAGAAGCTGCCAGCAAGGAATGGGGTGGAGAGTGCCAGTTCATGACAGCGCCTAGAGGCTCACACGCTTCCAACAGTGCATGTGAGCGAGCCATCCTTGAGCTGGCTCGTCAAGCTCGGACCTTGGTGAGCAGTTTGGAAGAGCGATTTCCTGGTTTTAAGTTGAACCCCAAAGACAAACACTACCCGTGGCTGATACGCCAAGCTTCATGGCTTCTGACCAGATACCTGGTAAAGGCCGACGGCAAAACGCCGTATGAGCGATTGAGAGGGCGGACCTACAAAGGTTCAATCATTGAGCCCTTTGAGAGTTGTCACTACAAAGTGGCAGATGCGGAAAAGGGGAAACTTGATGCACAGACAAACACGGGCATCTGGTTGGGTAAGAGTTTGCAATCAGACGAACATTTGGTTGCAACTGAGCACGGCATCAGGCGATGCCGGACGATCTGGAGGAAGCCAGAGAGATTGAGATGGAACCTCAAAGGTTTCCAGAGTTGGGTTGGCCTTACTTGGCAACCTCGTGGCCCACCCACACCAACTCCAGAAGCAATCCGCTCAGGAGTCACTAGCCCTGGCACTCCAGTGCCAGGAACACCAGGTGTAAAGAAAGGCGTGTACACCACGGTAGGGCAACAGCTGAAGCATGGCATGACGCCAGGATGCCCCGGATGCCACAGTTCAGATGAACACCCCAAGAGGCACCATGCTGAGTGCCGTGCGCGATTTGAGAAGTTGATCAGTGAGGAGCGCTTGAAGCTCAAGTCCAAGGAGGTCTTGGACGTAGAGATGGGTGCGGGTACCTCCGCTTCATCTCGGCCATCTGTGGGTAACACCGCGGTGGCAGAGCTGCCAGCGGGAAACACCGCGGCAGTTGGAGAGTTGCCAGCGGGAACCACCGCGGCAACGGGAAAGTCATCTGCGGGGCACACCGCGATGACAAGTCCGTCAGCGGGGAACACCGCGACGGCTGATGGATCGGTCGCGGGCCGCCCCGCACCGGTTGAAGGCCCACTAGAAGGTACATCCATGGGCAGTGAAGCAAAGAGACTGAAGAAAGATCAGTCGTCTAGAAGCAAGCGACCAGCTGAAACATCGCTGGATGATCTCTCTGCAGAGATCGAAAGGCGCTCAGTGGCAGTGCTACTTGAAGCTCCACAAGAAGAAGTGGATTACAACGATCGTCCAACACCTCATGAGGTTCCCTTGGCTGCTTATCCTGAATGGGCAGAAGTGGGACAGGTACTTGACGAAAGGAGCGGTGAAGTTCTTGAACCGGACAAGGTCAAGAAGGCTCGGGGAAGAGAATTGGAAAAGATGGAAACTCATGATGTCAAGAAAGACATCCGATTGAGTGAAGCCAAGTCACGCGGCTTGAAGATCATCCGTTCAAGATGGGTTGATGTGAAAAAGGCACTGCCAGAAGACCCACAAGGAGTGCGATCAAGATGTGTTGCACAGGAGATCAACATGGGTCCACGAGATGATGCGTTTGCAGGAACACCACCGCTATGGGTCCATCGAATGGTGATTCGCTTGCCGGCGCACACCGGAAGAGAGAACGTCGCGGTCAAAGATTGATTGCACGTTATGATGTGAGCGTTGCTTTCTTCCATGCCTTGTCAAGCGGAGGAATCGCAGTCATCCCTCCCAAAGATCTCTTTGAGAATGGGTTTGGGAATTGGTCAAGGCTATGAATGGAACTAGAGAAGGGTCTCGTGAATGGAGCCTTTACATCCGTTCGACGATGGTTCCTGAAGGCTTCCGTTTGTCCAAGTTGGTTCCTAACCTGTTCCACCACGACGAGTGGGACACACAATGGCATGTCACGGAGACGATATCATTGCAGAAGGAACAGCTGCAGACCTTGATAGGCTAGATGAGATCATGAAAAGGCGCTTTGAAGTCAAGGTACTTCCTCGGATTGACGATCCCAGCTATGGAGGGGCCGTGGCCGAAGGCAAGCGTTTGAACAGGATCATCCAATGGTCTGATAAAGGCTTCTCCTGGCAGGCTGATCCCAAACATGCAGTTGAGCTTGTGAGAGAGCTCGGCTTGGAAGGCAGCAAAGGTGTCGAAACACCTGCAAGCAAGGACGCTGGCAGGAATGAACGGCACGCTGATGATCCCTTGTCCTCATCAGATGCAAGTGAGTTTCGTAGACTTGCAGGAATTGCCTTGTACCTCTCGCTGGATAGGCCCAGCATCCAATTTGCTGTCTCGCAGATCGCTAGAGGCATGTCAAAGCCCACCTTGATGCATTGGTTAATGTTAAAAAGGTTGGGGCGGTACTTGATCAGCTTTCCAGTCGAAGAGTGGTTGTTTGTGTACCAAGAAGAACCAGATGAGTTCTATGTCTATTGTGACAGTGACTGGGCTGCTGACAAGAGAAGCAGGAAGAGCATGAGCAGTTATTCCATCAGGTATGGAGATCACTTGCTGGATACGAGCTGCGCTAGACAATCCGTAGTGGCTTTGAGCTCAGGAGAGGCGGAGTATTACGCGTTGACTCGTGGAAGCTCAGCTGGACTCGTGGTGAAGAGAGCGCTGCAAGAAGTGCAGCGAGGCACTGCGCAGACATGTCTCACTGACTCTACAGCATGCAAAGGAATCGCGCACAGGCGCGGTGTTGGAAAGGTGAAACACCTTTCGTTGAAAGAGCTTTGGCTCCAAGATGCTGTGGAGAAAGGTGAGCTGAAAGTGAAGAAGGAAAAGACTTCCGAGAACTGGGCTGACTTGGGCACAAAGATCTTGGATGCACCCCGAGTGGCAGAGCTAATGAGCAAGATGCCCCTGTTCAGAAGGGGCTTAGTGGGGGCATGTCTTGTTCTGAGTGCTAAGGAGTTTGAATTCGAATGATCAGCGATCCACTGGTTCTAACATCCAGAGGAGATTTGCACGTGTTGAGTTTGGGCTCAGAACGAGCATGCGCATCATAGGTGAAGGGGAAAGGTATCACAGGGAAGACTGTGCAATAGTACTTGTCAACCTTTCTCTTGCGCAATAACGCCCCAGGTTTAAAGCCGTTGCTATGGATTACTCTCATTGCAAGAAGGGTAATCCTTGACCTGGTAGGGCATACTCTCCGAAATGGTAGTGCTTAGCTGAACGGCCAGCACTATAGAGGGGTGTCGGGAAAAGGGCCTATGCAACATAAGTATGTACAGTAGATCACACGATCTAAGTAACCTTGAACAGGGCTGTATCTTGCAGCCCCTTCTGACCAAGTAAAAGGTGCGAGTCCGGGCGCTGAGTTGCGCCGTTTCAGAAGGATATTACTAATAAGTTGCACTTGTGGGCAGAAGAAGCACGACTGAAAATGAAAAGCTACCGGTTCTCGGACCCGTCTTTTTGGGTTGGTTTGTAGTTTCCCACTCATCCCAAGAGGGTGTCCAACAGTCGACGCGATTTTTGGAGCACATTATTGTTGAGGTCGCGGCGATTTCGTCGCAGACAGAGAAGATCGAGATGGAAGAAGGCGATGCGGAACGGTTTACCCTTCTTGCAAACAGGAGGCCTTGCAGGTACGGTGTTGGGGGAGACTTTATGTCAAGTATTGAATTGGGAAGGTCAAAGAGGGGATTTAATTGCTCTCAGTATTTGCCCACCCTAGAGGATGGGGTCTACATGCGTGGAACAAGTTCATTTTCGAAGGAACTCCCACGACCTGCCAACACGTAGGGGACATACTACCTATTCATGTTCTAAGTCACTGAAAATGGCCAAACAAGATATATCGCCATAGTAAAAAATGAGTTTGAGGTCATTTCCTAGATATTTTTTGTGAAACCGGCTGTCGCTTCATTGTTTGGAGGGTACAATGGGATAAGTGGGGGATTATGTTGGGATCTGGAAAGAGAAAGAAAAGAACATCAGATCCATTAATATGTGATGTTGGAATTGAAAGCTAGGCAGAGTCAAGGGAAAAATTTGGAAAGACTGGCAAGTTCATGGAGTTGTTCGCTAGAAAATGAGAGTTGTAAGTTTTGCTGACGCAGTGTAGGTTGGATTTGTGCATTTTTAGTGGCGCCTGGATGTGCAATGTTTAAGGCAAGGGTTGCGTGCCAAAGGCCAAACACCACCAGCCCCACCCAAAACCTGAATATCATGGAATCCAGTATGGAATCCATATTTTGAGTTCTGCACGTCAACATATATGAACAGATCACTTGAAGACTAGGTTGGTGCTAGAACAGCTGCCAAACCAGGATCAAAAGGCACGAACGCGACATTTTTTAGTGCTGAAGGTGTTCCTCGTTAGAGAATGGAAAGTTGGTCCATGGTGTCTGATGTCTTCATTTTCTAACGAACTCCATTCATCATTCCCCGGGGATTCACCAAAGAATGCCGACACGAAGCTATGGATTCCGGTGCCTAGGATTCTCGACCCGGACCCATGCAGACAAGGGGGCAGTCTGGAGATGTCTGGAGGTTCCGGCTATTGTAATTGTATGTCCTTGCTGTTGGTTCATTTCACAGTTGAAATTTAGTTGTTACTATGCAATATTAAGTACAGTACAGATACTGCGCCACTCCACAATCGCCAGTTTAGTGCTGGATGAGGCTCGCAACCTTGGGTTGGTCGTATATAGCTCAGTTTAATTCTTTCGTCACCGTTTTAAGCGTATGCAGAGTACAGAGTATGCAGTGTACGCAGCCATGCTGCACTGCACGACCACACGAGGCTTCTTTGCGGTCGATCCGCCATCCCACGCTGCGGGCCGGTTAGAAAAGATCTCGGAGGAGTCCGAGGCAGCGAGATGGGCATTTCGGGATGGGACTCGACGCCTCATCCTCATGGGTAGTAGTAACAAGGGCATCACTACTAGTAACAAGGGCATTACTACTAGTAGCTAGAAGCTACTAGTAAGCCTCCCCTTTGTCCTATTTTTTGCTCAACGGTTTTCCTTGCTCTCCAGAAGACCCATTTGGCTGTCCAACCTTCAGCTTCGTGACACAACCCATTACCAGGTTGTTGAGTTTCGGAAGTTCCAGGGTTGTCAACCAAATCGCTCGAGCATCGATCGGACCTGGATCAGGTGCGCTGTGAAGATGGCACACCAGGATGGGATTGGGCTGGAGTGGAGTTTGGATCAGATTGGGTGCTTTCTCCAGCAACAGCTAGACGTGGTGGCGTGAATAGATTGGACAGAATGCGCAGTTCTCCATGTCCAATCAAATTGGAAAGATGTTCACTGTCTACATGCGTGGAAAGCGCCCTAATTAAGCGCCAGTCAAGCACTGTGACATCGGCTTTGCTTGCAACTAGGGTCGGGGTAAGAATACGTGAGAATCCACTTTCTATTACACAACTTAATGCCTTGCCGTAGGCCTTGCCACTGGTTTTAAATTAGACATCCGTCAAACCGCTGTTTAGTAGGACAAATGTACTGAACTGAAACCCTAGACTCCGACCCACTAATATGGGATGCAAACATGACCTCAGACACAGTGAAAAGCCCTGAGTCGAGAAAGGCTTTCTTTGGTGGACCACGGCGGACCACCGCCAGCTGGAGTGGGTCGAACTTGAAAAGTGGTTTGCTTTGCATGTGGTTTTATTTCGTGCCTAGTGATTAGGGGAATGAGCCCACCCATGTGCAAAGGATCCTTAGGATGACCTCAGTTCTGCCCTCATTGTCCTATTTCCGCGACCACAAACCCTGCCTCAGTTCCGGGCGATCCGCCAGGCGCAGAAGTCGATTTGGGCGGATCTCGACCGTGTGGACCTTGGTGGTTTGAAATTTGAGCAAATTCACACAAGGGAAAGGGCAATGAACAGCACCACAGCTATAGTTGCGGAGGCAGCCAGACAATTCTGAGCAAAGCTTGAATTCTTCAATTGATTTGCTTGCTTCTTTGCAAGTTGCCCTCCGCAATCGAACATGGACTCTGAGCGTGGGTAGCTTCGATTGTTCCCCAACAAGCCAATGGTCACATGGTTCTATCTCAGCGAACTTGTTGATGATGCTAAGTGGATGGAAGTGGCTCAGTGATCGTAGTTCGTAGTTCAACATGAGAGGCACAGTTCCTTCTGGCAAGTGAAGCCAAACGTAACATTCCTCATGTGGTGCCTAAAACATGAAGCTTGATGCAATCTGCTATCTACTATATTTCAGGTGGCAACAGCGGAAAGAAGCGGATTGGTCTAATGAAGTCGAAGCCAGCGATGGATTGGGCTCCACACAGAATCCGCTGGCAACAACACAAGCTTGCATGTTCTTTGTGAGACCAATTAAGCAGAAACTGTCATGCCAGGTGTTTAACCAACTTGTTTCTGCTTAAGGCTGTGCGCTAAGCGTTACCCAGTTCACGACACTATGGCAGGGATGCCACTGATATTCTTCAACATTGTACAGTTCATTTCGCAAACTCTTGGCACTCTTCCATGGGCTTGGAATATTGCTTGAATATTGCTGTTCCTTGTGGTCAGGAGGCTGTTTGCTAGGCATTCTTCTCTTTGGATTACCTAGTCTTCTTGGATGAGAAGCTTCAAAATCTGACGTGCTTTCTCCAAGAGAACCTCACAGGTCCACAGAAAACGCACGGAAGCCCAGAATCCCCTGATGGTCAACCTGCAGATGGCACTTCTTTTCGGTAGACCCAATTAAGATTAAGGAGCACCAAGGGCGTTATTTCCACAAGTGAACGCTTTCGAGCTGAAGTCGTCCGGTGGGTTCAAGTGTTCAATGCAGGAACTGAGTCAAGACTCATACTTTCAGGTCATATATATATATATATGTATATATAGGCCAACTGCGAGACCTTGTTAAACGTCAGATCTAGTCTACCCTTTAGAGTGGCTGGTGGAAAGGGTCGGTGAGCATACTTTGGGAATCTTTGGGAGCATTCCCACAATCAGGTTGGAAGAGTCAGCGAATGTTGGGATTCGTTGTAAGATGTTGTGCTTTAAATCAGTCTGCATTTTTCTGTGCTTTAAAGGCAGACGTTTATGGCCAAGCTTTTCTCTCGGCGCGTTTGCCAAGCTGCGCGTGTCTGAGTGGTGCAGGCACAGTGTTTCAAGGGACAAGGGGCATCTCACGTAGTGAGGCTCTATCACTACTCCCGTAAATATGTGTATCTGTGCTATACTATACTATGCTCTGCTCTACTGTTTTTTCCCTGAATGCGTAGGGAAGGGTTCTCGTTTAACTCTGGGGTCTGGGGGTAGAGCCTTGTTCGCGACTCGTTGTCGTAGCGTTCGCAACCGCCCGCAGCAGAGCGATAAGGCGCTGCCATTGGGGGAAGGTTTGGGAGGGGGGTTGGATGGAAACGTGACGCGTCAGATTCGTGTGAAATAGCGAGGAACGTGTGGAAACGTAAGATGTTGAAGTGTGGAGGATGATTTCACTGGACAGGCGCAGCGTTTTGTGAGATCCGTAGTTTTCTGCGCAGTCACATTGGGATTCGCGTTTGGAGAGTTGTTTTTTTGGGGTGTTGGATGTGGCTGTGACATTGGGATGTACGTTTCACGGTGTTGCATCGAAGCTGTGCTTTCATGACAAGTCTCAGCTCAAGTGGTGATTTTGGTGGATGGGAGCGTGCTCAGAACGTGTCGAAGTCATTCCACTCGTGTGGTGTTGTGCAAACTTTGTTGAAGCTGACATGATATGATATTGTCACTTTTCGTGGCAGGCGCAGTACTTTGCGCTGGCTTTGAGGTGTGGAAGCGCGATTTTCGTGACAGGCGCAGGGAGTCGTGAGGTTGCGAGGTGTGGCGGAGGTCACATATCGTGTCAGGCGCAGTACTTTGCGCGCGTTAGACATGTGGACGTGGAAATTTTCGTGGCAGGCGCAGGGAATCGTGAGGTTGCGAGTTGTGGTGGAGGTGAATGTCGCTGTGACACTGGGATTGGCGTGTAAGCGGGTGTTATTTGGAGGGGGTGGAACCGCGAAACTGCTTGGCAGGGCTGCTTGATGTGTGACTTTTGCACGGAGTCTCGTATGCAATGCTCGTTTTGAAGACTTTGACAGATGACTTTTGGAGGAAGTCTCGTATGTGAGACTTGACGCGTGACTTTTGGAGGAAGTTTCGAACGAAACGCTTGCTTTGTAGACTTCGCAGTCTCGCGCGAAACACGCGTTTTTGGAGGCTTGACAAGTGAATTTTGGAAGGAAACGCTCGTTTTTGGAGACTTGACGCGTGACTTTTGGAAGTGCCCCACACACAGAGTGTCCCAGAAGAGTGTCCTACAAGGGTGCGCCACATGCCACAAGAGTCTCCCACGGGAGTGTCCCACCAGAGTGTCCGACAAGAGTGTCCTACAAGAGTGTCTCACAAGAGTGTCCCACAATAGTGTTCCACAAGAGTGTTGGACAAGAGTGCCCCACAAGACTGTTCCATAACACTCTCCGACAAGAGAGTCATACAAGAGTGCCCCACAAGGTTGTCCGACAAGAGTGTCCTACAAGGGTGTCCCACAAAATGTTCCATCAAGAGTGTCCTACAAGGTGTCCCACAAGAGTCTCCAACAAGAGTGTCCCATAAGAGTGCCCTACAAGGGTGTCCCACAAGAGTGTTCCGCAAGAATGTCACACAAGAGTGTGTTCTACAGAGTGTCCCGCAAGAGTGCTCGACAAGAGTGTCCTACAAGAGAGTCCCACAAAAGTGTCCTACAAGAGAGTCCCACGAGATTGTCCTACAAGAGTGTTTCGCATGAGATTCCCACAAGAGTGTTCCGCAAGAGTGTCCCACGAGAGTGAGTGTCATACAAGGTGTCTCATAAGAGTGCACAAGGCTGTCCCATAAAGGTGTCCGCCAAGAATGCGCCCTACAAGAGTGTCCCGCAAGAGCGTCTCCTACAAGACTGTCAACAATTGTTTAGGCGTTTGTTTTCGAGTACGTGTTTGCATTCGGGTTCGTGGGTTCCACTTTTTCATTATCACAACATGACGGGACACTGTCGCAACACGACCGGGACACCAGCATCACATGACCGGGACACCGTCACATCATCACCAGGACACCATCACAACATGACCGGGACACCATCGCAACACGACCGGGGCAGCAGCATCACATGACCGGGACACCGTCGCAACATGATCGGGACACCATCAACAACGACCAGGACACCATCACAACCTGACCGGGACACCGTCACAATGACTGGGACACCATCAAAGGACACCATCGCAAAACGATGACCGGGACACTGTCACTTCATGACCGGGACACCATCAAAACATGACCGGGACACCATCGCAATGACCGGGACACCGTCACAACATGACCGGGACACTACGACCGGGACACAATGAAAACATGACCCGGACACCATCGCAACACGACCGGGACACCGTCACAACATGACCAGGACACCGTCGCAACATGACCGGGACACCATCCGCCCACCAGTTCTGACGGTGACCCGACGGCGCCCGTCCGCCTATTTGTTTTGCAAGGCCCCATAGCATAGTTGTTGGGGAACTAGATTACATTATACATGTATCCTTTCATATCATATCATGTCATATCATATCATATCATAAATAGTAAGTAGTATATAGTTCATACTGTATGTGTATATATATAAAATATGTGTCAAATGAAAGGTGCCCGTGAGTCATAGTAGCCTTTTGCCCCTTCATCCACAGTCAGAACAGGCACAGAAGGCAGGAAAATACCAACGGGTGAAGGGTTCGTAGCATTGCTGCAACATACCCAAATAGGTCCAAGTAGTAAGTACCTGTTTTACTTCCCATCCCTGTGTGACAAATTTCTAGGCCACTAGGCCACTAGGCTCAGGCTTTTGGGGCCCAGTGGTTTAGCTCAGCAGCTTGCAAGTTGCATTCCATGATTTTGATCCTTGGCTTCGATTGCTCGGGAAGGGATGGGTGAGGGAATCCCTTCACGCATCTATATATAGTTTGGGGCGCTGACTGTGACTGAAGTGATTTTGGAAGCCCATGGGAAGTGACAGCAAAGCCAACCAGTTCTGGAAGGATGAACATGACGCAAAAAAAATGATAATCCCAAAATAAATGAAAATAAAACAAAATATGTTGTAAAAAAAATGATGATCTAAATGAAGATCTAAATGAACAAATAATAAAAATCAACTTTCCATTGCCTGGCTGGCAAAGATAGACTTAAAAGTACGCGTTGTTTCTTGATATGGGGCACGTGAGATGTTTTGTTT